GCCGTGAGAAACAAGAGGTTGTGCCTCATAAAACTTACTTTGGAGGCCATGAAGGTGTTGGAGAGTACATCTGGTATAGAACTAAGGTCAAGTTGCATGGATCTGCACTCACGGAAATATCATATGCCGGTGAAGAGGTTGTTGCTTGTAGTAGAACATTGTAAGAGCCATAGATTTCCCAAACTGTGTTCAAATTTCTTTCTTAATTTGTTCTCTTGGATACGTGTGAATTCATCTGTTTCTCTTGCAGAAAATATACTCCATCACTTGAAGATGTGGGGGCTTATCTAGTCTTGTACTGGATTCCTACTCGCGTAGATGGGAGAAGTGGGAAGCCAGTTGTTTCGATAACAAACTCTCTTGTTGCTCCAGGTGCAGATATTGTCACACTTTCTGTTATCTTTGCTAAATTTTGTTACCGTATAGCTGAATAATCATTGTCAACATCTATCTAGTTTGCTACGCTAATTATTAGTTTCATGACATCACCTTTTGATTTAAGCTTTTCCTTAACCTGTCAACCATAGAGCTGATGCGTACAAATTTCTGTTTCTGACGGAATAATGTGAATAATATTGCAGCTGATCCAGAAGTATCTAATGTTCGTGTGAAGAAACTTTTTTCGGATGCTTATTCTGGAGAAGGAGAGTACTTTGGTGGCCATGAAGGTGCAAGTATATTCAGTTGGTACAGAGATAATGATGGAAACATTGATCTTATTGCTGGGGCTAACTCCAAAACGTATGAGGTGACTGAGTCGGATTACAATTGCCGAATATTGTTTGGGTATGTTTCCACAGCCATTTCTCCTTGCAGCTTTGACAAGCATCCATTGCTTTAATTATTCCTTTGACATGCATGTATATATGGCTGTTTTAGTCTACACTTTTCAGGGTTTTAGTTTTGTCTCTCATTCGTGAAAGAAACTTTGTGGCATGTGTTAAGGGTCTGAGCCCTTAAAGTTTTCAGAATAACTGGCAATGATTGTATCAATTCAAAGATTTTAATTTTTCTTGTTTTCGATGTACTGATAGTGATCCCTAGCTTCATGATGGGTTTTGTTTTGAGTATGCGAATCTGAATCTTAGAATTGTTTCAACTTATTTTGCAGGTACACACCAGTTCGTTCAGATTCTGTTGTGGGAGAGCTAAAGATGTCCGAGCCAACTGAAATTATCCTCCCAGGTTTTCATTTTATGATCACTAGCAAAAGCTTGATGTCATTATTGTTGTGTTATGTTTTCCTTTATTGTTTCCATTTGTTTTGGGTTTCTTTGTGGGTTCTCTTTGCAATACCAGTCTAACACTTTTGATCACCATACAGAGGTTCCAAAAGTAGACATGCTTGCTTTCACCGGAAAGGCTGTACAAGGTGATGTTCTCACAGCCGTCCAAGTAATCCCAAAGACTGAAATTCAACAACTTGTTTGGAGCAAGTACAAAGGAGATATTCAATACCAATGGTATATTGCATCTCACCTGACCTTTAATCCCTGGCTAAATATTTGCATGAGACATTCTGTGGAGTTATTGGAACTATGTTGATGCCTCTAAATCCATTCATATGGAAAACGTCGTTTTCATTGTAGAACTTTGTATCTGATATTCTTGCCAATCTGCTTCGTTTTTAACTATATAATTAGCTTTTTATAAACGATTCCACAAAAACCTTTCTCAGAAACTGTTTTATGACTTAACTCACATAACAAGGGTTGTGACAGGTTCCGCTCTATGGAATCAGGGGATAAGATATCGTATGAGGCTCTCTCTTCAGAAATTTCGTGTTCATACAAGGTGCGGTTTGAGGATATTGGCAGATGTCTCAAATGTGAATGTGTAGTACATGATGTGTTTGGAAGGTCTAGTGAACTAGCATATGCCGAGACTGATCCAATATCACCAGGTTTCATGCATTTCAGTTACCATTGCATCTTGTTTACCAATGTCTGACGAGGTGAAGATGTGACCAACTTTCTGCCTACTTCAGGTTTTCCTAGGATAGAGAAGCTAGAAATTGAAGGACAAGGTTTCCATACTAACTTATATGCTGTTCGGGGCAATTATTTTGGTGGTAGAGAGGGAAAGAGTAAAATCCAATGGCTTAGATCAATGGTTGGAAGCCCTGATCTCATCTCAATTCCAGGTAGACAAAACTTGGGTCACATTGTTATTTCCTTCATGTCAAAAGTAACGCTTGTCTCAATTCTTGGTTCTCTTGTGTCCAGATACCTGGAAAATTTTAAACCATTTTCATCTGTGGATTTGATTCATTTCGATAAATTTTGTAGGTGAGACAGGAAGGATGTATGAAGCTAATGTGGATGATGTCGGATACAGACTGGTCGTTGTATATACACCCATACGTGAGGATGGTGTTCAAGGCCACCCAGTTTCTGCATCAACAGAACCTATTGCTGTTGGTAAGTTTTTCCGTTATCATCATAAATCATAATCACAATCATCATTGTCATGAATATTGTCATTGTTATTTGTTGTTGTGTGTGTACTAACTATAGTCACCAAGTCTCTCAAATATGACCTCAATTTGCATACAGTAACTCTTTACCAGGTTCCTTTAAGAGGAATTTCTGTTGTCTCTTCCACGACTACTTTTCTTTTCTATTTTCCAATGGGATCTCACGGTGATGATTAATTTGCAGAACCTGATCTTTATAAGGAAGTGAAGCAGAAACTAGAAACCGGGTTAGTGAAGTTTGAGGTAAGATTAATTTTGTGTTTTGTTATCTTAGCTTCACTTCTTTAAATATGATAAAATCTCTCTTCCTCAATCATTTGTTTCCCTCTTTTGATCTTTTGGAATCAGGTGTTGTGTGACAAGGACCCTTATCCCAAAAAGGTATGTACTTCATAATTTTCTGTAGTTACAATTGATTTGTGTACATCAAATTGGAGGTTCCTAAAAGGGTGAAATTGCTAATGATTTAGATTGTGGGAGAGGGAAATCTCGAGAGACGAATGCTGGAAATGAACAGGAAGAGATTAAAGGTTGTGAAACCAGGTTCAAAGACGTCTTTCGCAACTACTGAAGTCCGTGGAAGCTATGGTCCTCCTTTCCACGTAAGTATTATTTTGACCACAATCACTGGACTCATAAATCTTCAAACTGTCTTTTAAAGTTATATCGTTTTGCATCAAACCAGGTGGAGACATTTCGTAATGACCAGAGAAGGCTAAGGATAGTTGTGGATAGTGAGAATGAAGTAGACATAGTGGTGCATTCGCGCCATCTCCGCGATGTTATAGTGCTTGTCATTCGCGGGTTTGCTCAGCGATTCAACAGCACTTCACTCAATTCTCTACTTAAGATCGATACATGAAATCAATCTTAAAGAGTGATTGCGTCTATTGCAAGTTTCTTTCCGTGTGCCATTCAAAATCTCATACGCTCGTCTCTCTGTTTGTTTTGGTGCTTTCATCGTTCCAATATGTTGTGGTATTTTGCCGTATTGGTAAAGAGAGTATTGCCTTTGAAAGCCAAAGCTGCCTTGTTGTACCAAATGGGGTTTTTAATTACAAACCCAACTTTAACTAAATTTCGTATACTTAAAGTTTGGTTTATTTTATGTTTGGTTTGTTCTTGTTAAAGTATAAAGATAATGACTGTAAATGCATACGTCATTTCTTTCATTGTTAAAGTCAATACAAATTAAGTTTATTGATCTCTCATATCAGACTTTGGACTCAAACTGAATCTTGATTAGTTTATTTGTTAATTCTTACCCATTTTATGTGTTGAAAAATTAAGTGGATATGTGGATGGATAACCAAATGCAAATGGTTAACATGATTGTCACTCATCTCTCGTGTAATCTTGTCATCTTTGTCCCTTTTCCTCTTCTTTTTCTCTACTTTTACTTGTAAAATAATTACAAAACTTTTAGGATAACAAAAGTTTTATTCTTCTTTCTTTTTCTCTTTTCCCTATGTGAACAGACTTAAAAACACAAACAATAGTTAAGATTAAAAAGACAAAACAAGAAAAAAGAAAACAATTAGTTAGGCTCAAAACAGTTCCTTCTTGTGTAAGTTAGTTCGCTGTTTATGCTAACCAAATTAATCTTTGCCTTTGATCATGTTGGTTGCTTTAAAGATAAAAGGATATACTTTCTTTTCTTTATTATGATTTTGGTCGGATAAATTATTATTGTATGTTTTATTTATATATCCATTTGACATAAAACAAAAGGAAAATAATCTTTATTATTTAAAAATTTCTTTTTTTGTTTTGAAAAATTACTAATTGTTCCTCAACATCTTCTGTGAAGTACACACCAATTATCTTTTGTACTCCATTCTCTCCCTTAATTTACAGGGATTGGTGTAAGTGTAAACATTTTTCTTTCAAATTTTTTTCCTTCAAATCTTAATTTCTAAAAATTGATACAACGGAAAAAGAAGTTCGTTGAATAAAAGAAACAAAATAAAAAGCGAAATTCAACAGTGTCTTTTTCTTTGTACCAGGTTCTATGTCAGTATCAAATAAAAAATATTCATGCAATTTTGCTTTCTAAAAAATCCTAAACACAAATTATCTCTCACTATCATTACAAATTTGTGTTTTCTAATTGCATCGTTTTTCTTACTGGTTTTTGAGCTAAAAGGACCAATATTTGACCTTTTTCGAACTTGCTGTTTCCGCGAATCAAAGTGTCGTCTTTTACCTTGTTCCTCCTTAAGATTTTCTCCAGAAAGATAAAAGGCGATTCCTTTATGGTGATAAACTCATTCGCGAGCTTCGTTGGTATGTTCTCGAAAGCACAGTTAGAGATTTGTTAGCTGTAATCTCATGCCCCTTGAACACTTTTTTTTTCTGCAAGTGATGAGCCACAAAACAAAAGCAGAAAAGAGAGCACTTTTGGTACTACTATTTCTTCAACTCTTTTCGCCTAATTTTGTTTCTGATGAATCTCTAAGTTGATAAAGCTTCGGCCTTTGGTTGAATCGTTTTTACATTTCCAAGAAAAGAGCTAATTTTAGCTATTCTTGATTTGAGATTTGTCAAGTGATAGAGTCTAAAGAAAGAGGGAAAAAGGGAAAGAAATGGGTTGTGCTGCTTCAAGAATTGATAATGAAGAAAAGGTTTTAGTGTGTAGGCAGAGAAAGAGGCTAATGAAAAAGTTATTAGGGTTCAGGGGAGAATTTGCTGATGCACAGTTGGCTTATCTTAGAGCTTTGAGGAACACTGGAGTTACTCTTAGGCAATTCACTGAGTCTGAGACCTTGGAGCTTGAAAACACTAGTTATGGTTTAAGTTTGCCTTTGCCTCCTTCGCCGCCTCCTACATTACCTCCTTCACCACCACCACCTCCTCCTTTTAGCCCGGATTTGAGAAATCCCGAGACTAGTCATGAATTGGCTGATGAGGAGGAAGAGGGTGCTGCAGAGATTGATGGTGGTAATGATGGGAGTGGTGCAACTCCTCCACCTCCATTGCCGAATTCTTGGAACATTTGGAACCCTTTTGAGTCACTGGAGCTGCATAGTCATTCAAATGGTGACAATGTAGCTACACAAATTGAGCTGAAGAAGAAACAACAAATTCAGCAAGCTGAAGAGGAAAATTGGGCGGAGACGAAGTCTCAGTTTGAGGAAGAAGATGAGCAACAAGAAGCAGGAGGTACTTGCCTTGATTTAAGTGTTCATCAAATAGAGGCTGCTGGTGGCTGTGACATGAAGAAGCCTCGGCGTTTGAAGTTTAAGCTGGGAGAAGTTATGGACGTTAACTCCTCAATGACAAGCTGCTCCGGTAAAGATATGGAGAACACTCGTGTGACTGATTGTAAGATCAGGAGGACCTTAGAAGGAATCATCAGAGAGTTGGATGATTATTTTCTAAAAGCATCGGGTTGCGAGAAGGAGATAGCTGTGATAGTAGACATCAACAGTAGGGATACTATTGATCCTTTCAGGTACCAGGAAACAAGAAGTAAGTAACTGACTGAGAATTCTTGTCGTTTCCCAACTGTAATCTTTTAATCTTTTTGGATGTTGCACAGATTCTGATTTGTGTTCATAAGCATGAACAATTTGTTGTACATGTTATAATACTTATGTGGCTCACAGGGAAGAGAAGCAGTTCCGCAAAGGTATTCAGTTCATTGTCATGGAGCTGGTCTTCAAAGTCTCTTCAGTTGGGCAAAGATGCTACAACAAGCGGCACTGTTGAACCCTGTAGGCCTGGAGCTCACTGCAGCACACTTGAGAAGCTATACACAGCTGAGAAGAAACTTTACCAGCTAGTCAGAGTAAGAGCTACATGATCCAACTCTTTCGGTATTAGATTGTCAAATTCAACAATGAAATGCTAAGTTTTATCCTCTGATCAGAACAAAGAGATTGCCAAAGTGGAGCATGAGAGGAAGTCTGCATTACTGCAAAAGCAAGATGGGGAAACCTATGATTTGAGCAAAATGGAGAAGGCACGCTTGTCTTTGGAGAGTTTGGAAACCGAGATACAGCGTCTAGAAGATTCCATAACTACAACACGCTCATGTATGCTTAACTTGATCAATGATGAGCTGTATCCGCAGCTAGTTGCTTTAACTTCTGGGTAAAAAAACTCCATAATTACTCTTTTGCTGGCCATCTCATTAAAAAGCATTCCTTTTTATGCGATTTGGCATACATCGCTTCTAAAGATTGATTTGGTCTTACTATGTGCAGGCTAGCACATATGTGGAAAAAAATGTTCAAGTGCCATCAAGTTCAGATTCATATATCACAGGAACTGAACCATCTTCCAGATTACCCAAGTATAGATCTCAGTTCGGAATACAAACGCCAGGCGGTTAATCAACTAGAGACCGAGGTTACTTGCTGGTATAATAGCTTTTGCAAGTTAGTAAATTCTCAGCGAGAATATGTGAAAACACTCTGTACGTGGATCCAACTTACTGATCGCCTCTCTAACGAAGACAACCAAAGAAGTAGCTTGCCTGTTGCTGCTCGTAAGCTCTGCAAAGAATGGCAGCTTGTATTTGAAAAGCTACCTGATAAGGTACTTCTATAACTTGCAGCTTATATGTTTTTTTCTGGTTCTTGGCTCTATGAAAGCAGTCTTCAATACATGCAAATGCAACTGTTTTGGGTGGCATAGGTAACTTCGGAGGCCATTAAAAGCTTTCTGATGTCAATTAAATCTGTTATTCATCAACAAGCTGAGGAATACAACCTGCGGAGGAAATGTAATAAACTTGAGAGGAGGCTTGAGAAAGAGCTAATTTCACTGGCTGAGATCGAAAGAAGACTCGAGGGAATTTTAGCAATGGAAGAAGAGGAAGTAAGCTCAGCGAGTTTGGGCCCTAAGCATCCGTTGACAATCAAACAAGCCAAGATCGAAGCCTTGAGAAAACGAGTAGATATTGAGAAAGCTAAGTACTTAAACTCGGTCGAGGTTAGTAAGAGAATGACACTGGACAACCTCAAATCAAGCCTTCCCAATGTCTTTCAGGTGTTGACTGCTCTCGCTAATGTCTTTGCCAATGGGTTTGAATCCGTGAATGGCCAAACCGGTACAGATGTTTTCGACACATCCCAAGATTCCGATGAATCTCAACCCTAAGAAACTCCCTCATTCCCTTCTTGAGGTTTCAGGAGCTTGCTTCTTGATGTTTGTTTCTTTCTTAGTGCTTCAGTGAAGAGGTTTTTGTATATGAACGACTGTAGAGAAACTCATGTTTACAACTTTGTCCAACGCCAAAATTGCATCACAAGTCCTTCCCCTCTATCATCAAATCTAAAAAGGGTATTATTGTGTTTCTGAGTGTTTAAGAATCCCATTTATGAGTTAGAAGGATACTCAAGTAAATACTCTACTTATCACAAAGAACACAACAGAGTTTGATTTTCTTTGCAGAACAAAATTAAGTTTATGAAAATGGAATTTAAGGAATCCAAAACTAATAATTTTGGTTAAAGGTAAGAAAATGTTTCTTTAGGAAGGACAATGATTCCTAGCTTAACTTGAACTTATTTACATCTCGACATTGTCCCAGTCAAATGTATTTCCTTCCAAATTGTAATCCGGTTGTTGCATTCGATTCCTTGCTAATCTGCTCATCACCGCAAGCCCTGAAAATGTAGACAGCGGAAAGCAAGCGTTCAAGATGTCGCACGATTTGACTTTAATGTTTCAGTGTGGTGATTAAGATTTTGTAGAGATGCATATATTTGTTTACCTTCTACCATTCTATAGAGTGATGACAACCAGCCCTCTTTAGAAATATTACGTTCTTCAAGCGACTCTGCAATCTCTTTGTCGTGTTTCCCCTCGAGAACACTGCGCAGAGTCACAACCGCATCGTTTGTTCTCTTCAAAATGCTGCTATCATCTTCAATTTCAAGGCTTTGAAGATCGTTGTGCGACGAAGTAAGACTCACAGCCAGAGCAAACTGAGCGGCTGCAGCCCAGCGAGAAGAAGCCAGCCATTTCCTCTGGCCTTGTAAGTGTTGTGAGTCATCTCTGGCACGCTTGTTGTCGAGTACTAAACTACGCAAGTACTCAGCATTTGCAGCTCCAGTGCTTTGAACCATCTTGGAGAAAGAGCTTCCTTCGTTTGAAAGAAGGTTCTCCGGTGAACTGAATTCTTGAACCTGAGTTGACAAATTGGAATAGAACAGGTTAGCTGAGAAATAAGCAGAGTGCGAGATTGAAAGAGTGTTTAAAAATTAAGTACATACTCTTCCAGAATCAAGCACGAGAATTTTGTCACAGTCAATGATGGTATTGAGACGGTGAGCGATGATAAGCATCGTGCATGACTTGAATTCTTCTCGGATAGTCTTCTGAATGAGGGCATCGGTTCTAACATCAACAGCAGCAGTTGCTTCATCAAGGACGAGTATCTTAGATCTCCGTAACAACGCACGTGAAAGACTCAGCAATTGCCTCTGTCCCACACTGAAATTCTCTCCTGCCTCTGAGACCTGAAGTGGAACGCAACAACAAAGATTGAGAATCAGTTATTACCACTTAAACAAGAGATTTCAAGATACATAGGCAGCAACTAAATCTCAAGATACAAGTGGTATCTGAGTACCTCAGCATCAAGACCAAGAGGATTTCTGCGGATGGTATCCTTCAAGTGTGCCCTCTCTAGAGATTCCCAAAGATCAGCATCATTGTGTTCACCAAATGGATCAAGATTGAACCTCACAGTTCCTGAGAAAAGAACTGGTGACTGTGGAATGATTCCGAGCACTTTACGTAGGTCCATCAGTCCAAACTTTCCAACGTCACACTCATCGATTAAGATCCTTCCTTTTTCCACCTCCACAATTCTAAATAATGCATTCAACAGGCTTGACTTCCCAGCACCAGTCCTTCCAACAATCCCCACCTTATCTGTTGGATGAATGAAGAAAGAAACCCCATGAAGCACAGGGGGTAACTGAGGGCGGTAACGGAGAACAACATCCTCAAATTTTATGGATCCAGATGATGGCCATCCAGGAGGTGGACGGTTGTTCTCGATGACAAGCGGAGCCTCTGGCGGTATCTCTATATAATTGCCAACACGCTCAACCGCGTTTAGACTATTCTCAGCCAAACTCGCAAGTCTCAGAACACCTGTTAACAAGCTGGTAATATTTAAGGCATAACTGAGAAGCAACCCCATTGTAGATGCAAATGCCTGTTGGTTCTCCGCTCTTCCATTCTGCATGACAGCAAAGGATGCTGTCAGCCAAATCATAAGACCACCCAGAGTTTCTAAACGGATTCCGAGCCACCGATTGGCACCCATGTTGACAAGAGTGAATCTGATGTTATTATCCATTGATCTTCCGTTGATATCAGCCATCCGATCATATGCTTTGTAAGCACGGATAGTTGATAAGCCATTCAATGCCTCTCCAAACTGTGCATAAACAGGCGATCTTGAAATTGAATCCATACGCTTAACCTCACGTGCTGTGTTCTGCAATAAGAAAAATGGTTAACACACAACAGATGTGCATGCTTTTTGCTGACAGATGAGTGTAGATAACTTGAGCACCACACGAACTCGAAGACATGACAAATGGAGGCTAAAACAGAATGTGTAACATCAATCATCTGTGTTCCTTTCCGCTTTCTATTACTTGATCTTAACTATTTATATGCTGCAGTTAGAAGGTACATTACCTGGTAATAAAGATACGCTCCATAAAACAAGACCAGGAGGGGCATGATGGCCCACAAGGACAAAGTGCTTACAATGCCAATCAAGACAACAGTTGAAAGGAGCTGTGAGACTTGACCCATAAACATGTTCACAAAGACAGCCACAGTTCGATCAATATCACCCAGATCTTTTGCGAATCGATTGATTATCCGTCCTAGCGGATTGGTATGGAAGAAGGACATCGGGGCCCTTAGTATGGAGTGAAGCATATTGTCGTGTAACTTCTTAGCTGCATAAAGACTGGACATAATCAACCAATATGAATTGGTCAATGTCACCAAAACCTGTAAGCAAGAAGAAAGAGTCTCAGCACAAATATCAATTCTTTACTAACCTTTTCTACCTCCACCTTTGGATTCTCAAAGTAAAATCACAAAAGTAGAATTGTATAAGATCTTTTTTAGCTGGTCAGGTTTCAGCTATATATGTTATATCATGAGGTCAAGAGTATATCAAATCGTCACTCATCCATCAAGAAAACATAACTCATACCTGTCCAAACGAGAGAAGTGCATATATTAGATTGTAGAAAAGGGGTCCATGACTCTTTGGAGTTCCTGCATCAGTCCACTCACTCAACCACGTGCTGCTAGTAACCCGAAATACTTCTGTTAAGACGTAGCATAAAAGGAGCATCATCACTACCCATGCCCCTCCAAGTGCATCCTGGTACCTGAAAACATGGTAAGCCTGAAAAAGTCATTTTGATATCCCACAAAGGTATAGTTCAGCCAAAAAAAACATAAGTAATATGCTAGTTTGTTGTAAAACACCAGTAAATGAATGGACCTTTTGACCAAGAAGAAATACCTAAAGATATTTTGAGTATGGGGAAAATTGCAAACAAATAGTAAGAGTGCAAAAGCCAAATCTTCAAGTTACCTCTTCAGGACTCTCCAACTCACAACTCCAGTTTCACGTTCTTCTTGCTTGATGAGGACAGACTTTCCTCCTTTTTTATTTCCTTCCTTGGATTTTTTATCGTCACTTCCATCCATCTGAAGACCATTTGTGTTCCCATTCGCAACTGGTTGTACCACTGCTTGATCTGCCTCAGCTTCTCCATTTTCTTCTGAATATTCTTCCACCTTCCCCGCATTTTCCATTAACCTCTGGAACAAAGGGCCATTATTGGATAGCTCTTCATATGTTCCTTCCTCTTTCACTGTGCCTTCATGGACAAGTACAATTCTATCCACTTGCGATAGGAAGTGGAGCTGGTTTGTAACAAGGACCCTTGTTTTCTGCCCTAATTCTCTTTTTATGCATTTTTCAAAAACCTGAAACAATTAAATTTAGAAATCAGATTGACAATATTTTTGACCAGAAAAAAAGTGTTATAGTAAGATAACGCAAAAAAAAACAATGAGTCGTTACCTGTTGACCAACATGAGCATCAAGGGCACTTAACGGGTCATCAAAGATGTACACATCTGAATCTGAGTAAACGGCCCTAGCCATGGAAACCCTCTGCTTCTGTCCTCCACTGATATTAACACCTCTTTCTCCAATCTCCGTGAGATCACCACCCTATTATGCAAGACAAAGAGGTTGAAACAAAATTAAAAACAAGAGAACAGGCACGACAAATCCTTGTTATCAAGTCCACGAAGCTCTCCTAAAAACTTACAGGTAGTAGCTCTAGGTCATGCTTGAGTGAAGTCACATCAATGACCCTTTCATACTTTTCACGGTCGAAAGGAGAACCAAACAATATATTGTCGCGTACCTACAAATGTTTTTAAGAAAATGCACATCAGTCTTTCTGTTCAAAACAGTATTGAATCAAATACAAAAAATTATCCACTAAGTGTGTGAAGTAACTGACGCATTTGAGAACACATACCGTTCTACTATAAAAGACAAAATTACATTAACATTATGTATAACGAAATTCTTTTGCAACGTACAGCCCAACTTAAAAGTCAAAGAATAGAAGAACATACTGTTGCATTAAAGATCCATGAAACTTGTGGAACGTAAGCAACTGATCCTCTGAGAGTAACCATTGCATCAGATGTTGCAGGAAGTTCACCAAGGATAGCAGATATTAGAGAGGTTTTTCCTTCGCCTGTACTACCAACCACAGCAACTAGGCTGCCAAGAGGTACATCCAAGTTGATATTTGACAACGTCGGCCTATCCCCCTGTAGATACATATGGTTAGCTCAATTTTTGTACGATGTATAAGTAAAGGTAATGAGAGAAAGTGAAAGAAGGAACATGGTAAAGAATAGACAAGAGACACCTTAGAATCCCAAGAGAAATATCCATTTCTTATGGAGATGGCTGGCTCTCCAGGTTCAATGGGAGGATTTGGTAAGAGAATTCTCTCTTCTGTCGCCAAGACCTCCTCCAGACGTTTTAAGGATACATTAGCATTTACCACCTACAAGTGAAAACTAGTCAGTATCGGCATCTGTTTCTGGCACCAGCAAGGATACCCCTCCAGCATGTAAATTCAATATATAAGTCATGGATTTGATAACCAAACGACAGTTACTACAAGCACCAATTGTTCTACTTAATACACATGCATTGCAACAACAGATTTAAGAAATCACCTGAGTTATAATGTTTGGAAGCATGAAGAGAGGGAAACGAAGCACAGCAAAGAGAGAGAGTGACGTAAACGCTCTTGCAGGGGTCAGGTCTCCT